TGTGGTCCGTATTAGGCGTGACGTTGAGGTCCGCGTCCGAGGACTGGTGGGCCAGTATGTCGAACACGATTAGTGAGCCCAGACTGTGGCCGCCCAGGGCTACCGTTCCGCAAAAGTTCGGGTTTCTATTGGGTTCGCAAATAGACATTAGATATAAAGCAAAATAAATAGGATTTCATTGAAAATTTATAGAAATACTCGTTATAATGAACTCATAATTATAGTGAACCTAACAGTGAGTCTATTAATAGTAGACTTAAAACTAATTAAATATTTCTATTATTTAAACTAATTATTAAACTAAATATAAAACATTAATCCAATGGTAAACTCATAACAAATATACAGTTTTAAAACAGAGAATATTGTACACTATAACCTCGTTATACACAATATCTTGCGTACATTATAACGGGAGTAGACTATAACGTGTACACACTATAGCGTTATACAAAAAAATAGTGTATATCTTGAATACCTCATTAAAACACTAAAAACAAAAACTTAGTAATCAATCGTAAACTACAAACAAGTTTACAGTAGTTTCGCAAACACGGAGTTCACTATAACCTGGAGTATATACACTACACTATATACACACACACTAACAACACATACCGGTGACAAAACAACTCAAACAAACGGTTCAACTCCTGTCCCACGGAGTCGACAATCGTTTGACAGTAGACGGGACTCGTGTAGAACAGGGCGTCCAGAATGGTATCGTTGCTGAAGTGCCGGAGCTTCGGTATGCTGTCCAGCGTTATCTGCCGGAGCCGGTCGTCGATACCGGTCTCGTCGCCGTGTAGGGCCGAGTGCCACGATATGGGCAACAGCTCGATGCGACCCAACTGTCCCGACTCCATGTACGATCGGAAATGGGTGCGCATTAGCGATAGGCTTATGCACCGGAAGTCGTCCACCACTTCCACTATCGACCGAAACCTTGAGTTTTCAATAAAATACAGATTATAATAATGAATACAATTAGTATGTGTTATGTAAGGGCACTGGTAGCTGATTATGAGTCATAGGGACTGATAGCTACTGAAAAAGGTTGTGTACATTAACTTTGAACCGGTATTAAAAACTTTGTTTAAAACTAATCAGTGATTAAAACATACGATTTTTAAAAAAATACTGATTACATTAATGAGTTTAAACTATGCAATAGAGGAACGGTAGCTATTTGGACGGGTAGCTCACAGACACAAAACTCAAATCCACTGCATATTTTCAAAACCTTATGTATAAATGAATTAAACAATTAATCCACAATTAAATTCATATCTAAGCGCATAATTAAACAAAATAAATGCTCATAAAGGGAACGGTATGCCAAAAACCTCACCTAAAATCACATATCTCTCCGATTCCATGTATAAGGAACACGAGATGGTCGACCTGTACGGGCTCGCCCTCATCGATATCATCAGCCATGCCGTCCAGAGCGCCTACACCTCTGGCCACGAGTCTCGGCCGCTGCGGGTTCTCTAACGCCTGTCCCCACCCGTCGGGCATCGACTGATCCAATTGGTAGTGATATATAGACTCCCGGGTGTGCATCACCACCACCTCCTGTCCCCCATCCAACTCCACCCTCGTATTCCACGTATTAGTCATCACTGACTGCCTATACCCGGCCTCCAGGCGCTCGGAGACCTCCTCGCCGTACGGCACCCATCGGTTATGGCCCTCCTTTCGGTAAAACCAGGAACAGCGCCGGCATATAGTGTCCGACTCTTGCCAATAGACGGGTCGTCGCACCCGTTCCCCGACAGACACGTCGAAGCGGCCGCCGTCCGTAGGTATGACCACTCCGTAGCCATAGGTCGGTGCCGTCAGCACCGACTGCTCCAAGTTGTACGTGTCGTACAGCGAGAACGGCCGCCAAACCTCCTTATTCTCGATCACCCGCTGATAGAACCAGTGGTAGACTACCGGCGCGTAGGGCTGGTAGGGTTGGTACGGTTGCTGAGCACCGGTAGTGTCTGCGGGAGAGGCGGTGGGCGACTGCTGTTGCGTCGACTGCCAGTCCGGTCCGTAGGTGTTGTCCAGTGTTTGC